GCATTATGAAATTCAATAGACATCCTTTCTTGATTATTAATGTTCAATTCTACCTCATCTTGCTCCTCTTCATCACCCTCTTCAGCATTTGAATTTTATATATATTAAGTTAAATAAATAAATTCTGGCCAATAAACTCAATTAAATTTGTCGATCATTATTGACCAATCACAGAGAAATTCCGTTATGCTAAAAAATTCATGAATGATAAAGAATCCCTCCTTTATTAATTATGAATTTTTTGATACTACGATTTGGAAATTGTTGTAGACAAGTAATAAATGTAGATGATTCAATTTCCAATATTTTTGAAAGCTTAGAATCATCATCAACCGATGATTTTATTTCTAACAATAATATAAATCGTGTATCTTTTTTAATATTTATTGAATGCGTATAAATGCAGATTTATCCATAAAAAGATTTTTAACTATGCGAAGTTATGAACGGAAAATCATTGTCCATGCATCGGTCACACGAAAAATAAACGATCTTTTCTAACATTAGAAGGATCGTCTTACTGGAAAGCAATGTTCCGCGTTCCGGTTTGTGGTATTGATATTAAAAATGAGTTCCATCGCAATCTATCAAGATATTAATATAAATGAAGATTTTTACATAATCAATGTCACAATTAAGGAAAAAGGGTATATCTGATATAATAATAATCAATTCACTACTATTAATCATATTTCTTTTAACACCTTTTGTTTTATTAAAGGACCAGAAATTATTTTATATCCTGAAGAAAAGTATGTATATCAACAATTATTTCAAGTAGCTGATGAAGAGAAAAAAGGTTATATCAAAGGAATACGTGCTACAAATTTTTTGAGAAAATCAAATTTACCTTTAAGTACCTTGAGTAAAGTAAGCAAAATACTTAATTTTGTCATGACAAAAAAATTTTTTTAACAATAATTGCATTTTCTTATCATATTTGATTAATATAGATATGGGACTTGGCTGATTATGAGGATCGAGGTGTCTTAACAATACAAACTTTTATTATTGCTGTTAAACTAATTGCTTTAGTTCAAAATGGTCAAAAGCCTGATGTGGCTTTATTAAAAGCTAGTTAGTATGTTTAGTATATATTCTAGTATTTTTAGTTCATGAAAATTTTTTAAAATAAGTTTTTCTTTTGATATAATTTAGAGATACCATTACCGCATTTTGAGGATATTAACATAGAAACAGCCTATATTATTGCTGACGATGATCGTGAAAAATATAAAAAAATATTCTCAAGGTTGGAGCATGGAAATGGTCTTGTAGATGGTAATTAATCAATCAATAAATAAATATTTTATAGGTTATATATATTATATGGTGAAATTTACACAATTATTATTTTTAATAAAAAAATTTTTTTTAGGTGACAAGGCAAGAGAATGTTTTTTGCGATCTAAATTATCATCAACAACACTCTTTCAGATTTGGTAATACATAATAGATAACCTATTTATCTATTAAAAATTTTTGATTGATACAATATTTATAATTAAATTATTTAGGGATTTAGCTGATACAAAACATAGAGGAAGACTTGATATTAATGAATTTATCATTGCAATGCATCTAATAAAACAGTATATGGCCAAAAATATCAGGGAAATTCCACAAACTCTTCCAAGTGGATTTTATGAACTGGCTGCCAGCGTTAATCTCGATGCATCATCACCGTCACTTTTTCCAGGAAATTTATCAAGTCCTTCAAGTACTCCTAGAAGTGAAATGTCACCTGCTGTTAAAAATCCTACTTTAAATCCAGATGGATTTAATACAAAATATGCATTTATAGAGGATTCGTGGGATGTGACACACCAAGACAAAACAGAATATGATAAAATTTTTGATTCTATTGATCAGATGAAACGTGGATTTTTAACAGGTTAAAAACTATTTTTTTAAATTTTCTTTAAATTTAGAACAAAATGATTAAATTTACTAATTAGATTTTAAATTGGTATAGGTAGCGAGGCAGCAAAATTTTTGGTGGAATCAAATTTGAATCAAGATACACTGGCAACGATATGGTAGTAGTTCTTTTTTTGTTTAATATTTCTTAAAAAAAATTTTTTTTTTTTTGTAAATAATATATTTACGTTTGTGCTTTTTTTTTTAGGAGTCTTTCTGATATAGATAAAACTGGATGTCTTAATCGTGAAAAATTTGCTGTCACTATGTATTTGATCCAAAAAACGTTAAATGGATTTCCATTACCAACCACTTTGCCAACAAGTCTTATTCCACCATCAATGCGTCATACTACTGGTAAAATCTTCCTAAATAAAAATCAACTAAATAAAATCGTCTTTAACATTTATTTATATATATATATAATGTAAATGTATCAATCTAAATTTTTAGACAATCAATACAAAGCAGCTAGTAATTTTTTTGATTTAGAAGAATCTTCGACTCTTGGTCATATTTCAAAAAAAAACAATGGGTCAACTTCATCATCGATCTCATATTATTCAACAGAAAACTTTGTTGATTTAAATGATCCCATAGACTCGCAAAATAATTTTATTTCGGATAATGTTACTAAAGGTATATTATAGATATTTAAATTTATCATAATTATTATTATAATATTCATATAAATTTAATGAAATTTTTAATTTTTGGGGAAATGATTCACAGAACCACAAATGATTGACCCGTTTGGTGACACTGATATACATACTGAAATTGCAATTGAAAGTAGTGAAATAAAAAATTATGAACCCCAAATTGATATTCATATACCTTACGATAGCTATTCTACAAGAAATAGCTCTTACAGCACCACATCTGTTTTCACCGCTACAGATAATAATAATAATAATAGTGGTGGTGGTAGTAGTGGTGGTAGTAGTGGTGGTAGTAGTGGTGGTAGTAGTGGTGGTAGTGGTAGTAGTAGTAGTAGTAGTAGTATTAGTAGTAGTAGTAGTAGTAGTAAAAAAGTTAAATCGAAAATCTCCGACAATTTGATGTCAACTTTTAGGAACCGCTTAAAGAAAAAAGAATGTATGATTTGTGTTGAGAAACGGTATATTGTGATAATTTCAAAGAATTGTAATCACGATGCAAATATATGTGATGAGTGTGTTAATAAATACATCGAAAGCGATTTAAATGATAAAGGTAATATAAACATTAAGTGTCCTTTTGCGGGATGTCATGTAATTTTAGATTGTTATGAAATAAAAAATCTTGTTAAAAAAGATTTATATGAAAGGTAAATAAATAAATATAAAGACCCGTTTTATTTATGTTTATTTTCAAAAAAAAAAGCAAAAAAACGAGAAATTAAAAAATAATTTTTTAATTAGGTATGATAAATTAGCATTACGTAAAGCACTTCAACAAATGTCAGATATCAGGTGGTGTAAAAATTCTAAATGTGGATCAGCTCAATCTCATATAGGAAGTGACTCTGAGCCAATATTAACATGTGGTGATTGTGGAACTAAAAGTTGTTTTGTACATGATTCATTATGGCACGAAGGATTAACTTGCGAACAGTACGATGAAGTTGAGAGAATTAGAAATGAGGCCACTCAAACCTATCTAGAACAACATACCAAGCCTTGTCCTAAATGTGGAGTAAGAATTTCAAAGGATGAAGGGTGTGATCATATGACATGTAAAGTTCTTGAATGCAAACATGAATTCTGTTGGTTGTAAGTATAGTAATAATAATTGGAGTTTTATTTAATGATTGATCTATTGATTGATTTAATTAATAATAATAATTTATTATTAGATGTCTTGCAGATTATGATGATATTCTCGCTAATGGAAATCATTATCATGAAACATGGTGCAATCATTATAGAGCAATTGAAGAATGTGGAGAATATGACGGATATGAAGAATATGAGGAATATGAGGAATATGAAGGATATGAAGGATATGAAGGATATGAAGAAGGTGAAGAATTTTAAGAACGAAAAAGGTGAAAGAAGGTGAAGGTTGTTAAATTTATTTTTCTGGTGTCAAACGAGCCTCAATATTTTATAATTTAAATTTTGCGTATTCATTTTATTCGAATTATTCGTTTATTTGAATTATTGAAGTCTTGAAAGATTGTGCTTGGAAGATTTGTTTACAAAGACGTGCGCCATCTTTCAAGATTTTAAAAATAGAAAGATAAAAGTTAATCAACCATGTATTTATTAATAATTTTTTTATTAATTTAATTAATTTAATTATATTAATAAAATAATAATAATATAAAATAAAGAAAAATATATAATCTTAAAAAATTATATTATTACTATTTTAAAAATGCACATTTATAAATAATTACAAAAAAATATAAAATAAGATAATTTTCTTTTATAAAGTATTATTATCATCATTTTTATCGGTAATATCTTTTTGATTCCTATATGTGTTTTTAAGTAAGCAAGTAAATTAATAATCAAATAAGCAAGTAAATGGGTAATAGAATTCACTCGATAAAATATAACATACGATTCAGATGGTTCTTGATTATTTCTCATCATATTATTTGCCCTAATAAATAAATAAAAAAATCAATAAATTTCTATGATGATGATAATGATAAAATGATAAAATATTAATTTACATTTCAGCAACATTAGGATTACTTAAAATATCATTCAATGCTCCCGATTGCATCATTTGTTGTGCTGCGTTCATAAAGGCTGGGTTACTCATTAACGAAGCAAAATCAAAACCGCCGCCGCCAGCGCCACCGCCTCCACCACCACCACCACCTCCTACACCAAGATTGGCTGCTAGTTCTGCCAATCCACCCAATCCACCCAAACCTCCCAAACCACCTGCATTGGGTAAACTGGAGTTACTGTTTGGTTTGGTTCCTCTTGAACCGGTTTGATCATTAATCTCATTCGATTTTTGTTGAGCTGTTGCAAGGCCCGATTTCATTGTAGCATTGCTGGGATCAAGAGAAAGTCCTTTCTCATATGCCTCGATTGCATCATCAAATTTTCCTACAGCCAAATAAGCATGACTAAAACAAATAAAGGATTATTATAATGATAATAACTTTTTCGCAAAATCTAACTATATGCAAACATAGGCGTGATTATTTATTTATTTGTTACCCAAGTCTACTATATGCCTTACTGTAAGAAGGATCTATTTGTGTTGATTTCAAAGCATCATCAATGGCTTTATTATGTTTCCCCAATTGAGCATAAGCAGCAGCTCTGTTTATTATCATATGAAATCAATATGTATTAGTAAATCGATGCATGTAAATATTATAAAGTCGTATTGTTTATATATTTTACCTATTAGAATAATATACTGCATTGTTTCCATTGATATCAATTGCCTGTTCATACAATTTAACAGCAGCCTCATAATCTTTCTCTCCCACTTTACGATTACCTTTAATTCATAATCATTAATATTATTAGTAATTAAATTTCTTAATCTTGGCAACAAAAAAAAAATCAATTTCTCCCTTTTCTTTTTTGTTTTTGTGATTAATTACCTTCTGCTTTTAATTCTTCAGCTTTTTTTCTTTGTTCTTCGGTCAATTCCACCTATAATCACATAAAATTAGTTGTCATGTATAATAGTTTCATTGATAGAATAATAGTGATGATAATAGTATAGCTGACAATACCTTAACTTCTATAATTAGATAGTCAGACAAGCATAAAAAAAAGCTGTTGTTATTTAATTATTAACGTTATTAATAAATCAGTTGGGTCATTATTAGAAGTAATGGTTTTCATACCAGATTTAGAAGGTGGTTTGATGTTCTAAAGATAAAAATTGATAACAAGTATGTTAATATTTACTATTTATTAATTAATTTGTTATTTATTAAATACTTTAAAAACTATTTTTTTTTTAATATTTTATATACTTGTTTAGAAGACCTTCGCTCTTGTGCTTTTACAGCAACTTCGAAAATAGACAATAATGGAGGTATTGTTGAATAAATTGCTTTATCTTCCGGATCATCTAACTTAACTCCGAAAGCCTCTCCAATGCATTGAACTGTTATTAAAAAAAATTTTAAATTTCATTACATTCAAAAAAAAAAAATTATAATTTATTTATTCATCAACTTTTTAAAAACCTGCAACTTCGACGCTTTCTGTATCCTCTTCTTTAATAGTGTGGTCATTGATGCATTGTTGCAAAAATTGTAAAATAGAAAATACTAACCGTTTTTTTATATCTGACATTATTTCATCAATTTTTATTTATTAAAAACTTTAAAATATAAAAATTGAGATTTTTGATTTGATTTTCATATGCAGACTGCGACAAAGTGAACAATAATAATAATAAAGATCAACTTGCCAAGTTCCACAATCGTATTACCAATATAACACGACGTGTAAATCGTCTCGGATCTACTCTTCTATTATTTTTCGCAAGTCCCTCCTCACTTTAAGAGGGTTTTTATTCTTCCCTTGTATTAAATATTATCCCTCAAAGAATATAATTACCGTCGGTCATATTGCTTTGCATTTCGCTACAATATTTGCTGGTAAAAATAGGGAGCTTCATTATTTCCTGATCCCATTCAGGTTAATAAATACAATGAACTTTGAATAAAGTTTATCTTTTCCATCTCATCCTGCCAAATATATTATTCAAAGGTTTTATTAATTAACGTGTATAAATCGAATAACACTATTGGATTCAGGGTATAATTAGCGTCTAAAATTTTAGCTCAAATTACGTGCGGTGCTAGCACATTGCTATCGGATTAAGGTGCGCTGACTGCACGTTATTAGCAAACTAATGTGCGGTCAGTAATCTTACATATAAAACAATTATATAAATGAGCTATTGTAGCAGTTTTATTATCATAAATATACTGTATATATGCCCGTTCAAGTGTTCGCTTTCGATATGATTGTAAAAATATTTTTCTTTTTTGCATCTTTACACCAGCCGCAAAACATTGTCACCACCTTTCCACTACTATCTCCACTTTCTTCAAGCCAAAAGTAATTTGTAACCAACTTTGACCAAAAAATCTTCACGTTCTTGTCCGATTTTTTCCTTATTTTTTTCGCTTTTGTGTACTAGCTGCTACCTGTTTGGGCCCTCCATTATTTTTTTCTTTATTTTCAGAGTTTGCTTTTGCGAATAGCAAATTTACTTAACCATCATTGAATACTTTTTCAAAAGCTTTAATGTGAATGAAGCGAATAAAAAGGTATCTTATATAAATTTGAAAATTGATTGAAAAAGTTCACTTGGATTGAGAAAAAATTATAACTGAATCTGAGCATAATAATTTATATAATTTTTAGAGATGGAACAAATCCAACAAATCATTTATTATCTTGATAAAGAATCTTGTAATAATTACCTAGAAGACATGGCAAATCTTTGTTCTGTGTTTTGATTATATACAAAAAAAAAAAATACTTCTAGTATATTTGTCAACGAATGCCTGGCCCTTCGTCTTGGGCTCTTCATCGATTGCTTACAAAAATTCCCGTTCCAAAAAATAGGGGCTTATTTGTACAACACCAACACGTATAAATATTATAATTTTTTTTTACGCGTGTTTATCGATTAAAAAAATGTTGTTATGAATGAGAGGAAAAATATGAGTAAGTATTGTCAGAGCATGGCTATCATTTGAGTAATTTATTTATTTATAAACTGTTTTTATTTAATTACCAGAATAATAAACGAGCAAAAGAAAAGCAACTCGCGGTCTAAGAATTCCTTGTCATGCGTGATAATAAACAAACGATGGGCATATTCGTTTTGCTGATAGTACCAAATACTGATCAATTGCTTATTGAAAGAAGATAAGGATTCATTAACTGGAGGTGATTCCCAACATTGGCCAAATAGCTAAAGACTACTTATCTGTTCAAGCAACTTTGGCTGGACATGCCATCCGAAAAACTTCAACCAGAATCAATAATGATTGAGTTTGGGTGATAACAAAGATGTCGGAAAAATTAATATTATTAATGGTTTAGCAGTAGAGAAAGATGATGGTATTAGTAGTTTGGACTATTTAGATGAGTAAATATGTATGTTTATATTTAGGATTTTATTATTCATTACATATGTAATCTTGAATTTTTTTATTGAATAAATAAATAAATATATTGAATTTAAAAGACTGGATTGAACTATTTGACAATCTTAGGACAATGGTTCTAGAAGTATAGCACAAACAATCCAGACCGAGCTTTAACATCACTAATTTTTAATGCTATACCTAATGCTAAAATAACAGTAATAGAGAGAGTTAGTTGTCTTAATCAATTAGGATCCTCTTCTAATAACATGCCTTCGAAAATGTATACTGTACGTGAAGTACAATCTATGGCTTGATGTCTTTCAACTACCCAGTCCCAAAATATAAGATATATATATATCTTGATGTTGATGTGATATATCCCTTACGTTTTGATATCACTAATATAGTGTTTGTGCTCCTTGTATTTCCTTGTACTAAGATCTTCTACTGAAATAACAGTGTTAATTTATCACAATCCCTCCTTAAGTGTTCTCTCCTTTTTACAGTAGTTACAATAGAAATAGGAATTCTATTTCTTCTTAGTTATTCCTTGAATTTCATAATCCCTTTTAATTAACTCTGCATGAGTTGATTCCTCTTAAAATATATATAAAATATTACAAAATAGTGAAATTTTAAACCATTATAGCTTTTGATATAAGGTTTAAAATAAAAAATCTGGTTGCAACTAATCATTTCTTGACTTCTAAATAATTGTTTTTTGGACTGAAGAGCAGATATCATTTTGGTAAGCCAATAATAGTTGCTATCATCCATCCACTGTATGTATTTTGCAATAAAGTTGTATCAATAGTACAAATTGAAATTCTCGGGTTTATTTATATATCATACATAAGTCACAACAAATGATGTGAAAACTTTTTTTGAATAATAAAGTATATTTGTTAGGCACATTTTGATGGGAAAAAAAGAAGCTAAAATTATAATAAATGATAAGCTTTATTAATCCACATTACCCACTTCTGGTTGGTGGTAGCGGTACAAATGGAAGTTGCTGGTGTCAATGATGGTATAAGCAAAGTCTGTGATTCATCACCTGCATCATCCTCATCCTCATCCTGATAATGCAAAATAAACTTATTGTTAACAATAACTGCCAAAACTGATCTTGCCTTTTCTAATTTCCTTGTTTCAAAATAATGATTCCAGATTTGAAAAGTTGAATTACATGCAACTCAAACATAACCTCTCTCTAGCCTTATAAATTGAGTAAAATGTTCTTGAAGAAGTGTAGTGTAATTCTGGATTTATTTTTAACCAAATCGACCCCATCTAGGTCAGATAGAAGGCATACACACACTATTACTTTCAGTATTTAATCTATATATATATATATTCCCTATCAAAAATATTCATTACAGAAAACCTCCACATAATAACTATACATATGATTTATGAAGCCTAGGTTTTGATAAAAAAATTAAACTCTAAAGTTGACCGTCGATCCTCTCCTATTAGTTTATGATATGTTTCATATGGAATATTTGACTAGCATCAGAAAAATAAATCTCACGTAAACCCATGCAGGGTTTAAAACTGACCAGCGTTATGCGGAAATGTTAACAGAATTACCAAAATATCGACATAATGCTGGCCAATTGTGAACCCTATGTAGGTTTACGTAAGATTTATTTTCCTGATGTGCTCTTCTTTTAAAGCAGTTTCCAGTTCATCTGCATTTTTGGATACTGTACACTGTCCTTCACTTCATAGTCATTCAATTGAGTCCAGATTGTGAAAGCACATTATGTAGAATTATAATATTTTTCCTTGCGATCCAAATTTGTACCTCTACCATTAATTTGTCTAATATATTGCAACAAAAATTTGTAATAATTCATCTCGCCTTCAATTTTAACTGATGACTCCAAACCGCTATTCTACCATCACTACACTTGACTGACGATCTAATATTTTCAATAACATTGACCAACGGTACACCAAACACGGTGGGGACTACTTTTCCCCGTGGAACAACACTTCGATTTTTCCTTTGTCTAAAATTCAAATTCAAAATTATGTGCGGTTGCTATCATATTAAAGTGCGCTGACCACACATGATTAGCAAACTAATGTGCGTTCAACAATTTTACATATAATTTATATAAATAATAAAATAACAAATTATAAACAATGTAAATTTATAAACTTTGACCATCAATATCTATATGCCGTTCAAATGTTCACTTTCAGTATGATTGCGAAATGCTCGCTTCGAGCATGGTAAGGTGTGTACCGTCCGACCTCAACTTTTTATTTGGGTGTGCGTTTGCACACATGAAAGCCATAAATTTTTGTGGTTTTCTCTCGATTTTTTTTTCCGAGTGAACTTTCAATTTTCTTTATTCACTCCATTCACATTAAAGCTTTTGAAAAAGTATTTTTCAATAATGAATAAATTATAATTTTGTTATTCGCAAAAGTAAATAAAGAAAAAAGTAACGAAGGATCTAAACAGGTAGCGACTAGTACACAAAAGCGAGAAAATAAAGAAACCATCGGACAAGAACGTGATAATCTAAATTGGTTACGAGTTTACCCTGTAAAAATGCAAAATATTTTTACAACGGTGGTACACAGTAATACCAAAAGCAAACAGGTAGGTAGGTATATAATTTACTTACTATATTTAATATTATATATAACAATCGATCGCTTTTTTGCATTTTTACACCAGCTGCAAGGGTAAGTTCGTGACCAATTTGGGATCAAAATTTTCACATATTTTTTTTATTTCTTGTCCTTATTTTTTTTTCGCTTTTATGTACTAGCTGCTACCTGTTTGGATCCTTTTCTTTATTTCGGAGTTTGTTTTGCGAATAATAAATTTGAAAAAATTATAAATTGATCTAACTGAATCCGCACACTAAGCCACAAATCTTGTGTAATAAAAAGTTGAGGTCACATATCTAAAATTATATCATGAGCAAATAAATTTATTATGTACATTTTTCTACAGAAAATCATAAGTTCGTGCAAAGTGAAAAACCTCAATACCGCTATAGTCAGATTCATTCAAAATTTTTGTCTTATCAGTTCTTGATAGGGTTTTCAGTTGTTTGGAAACATCTCCAACACTTTTACCACCTTCGTGAAGACCTAAAAACTAGAGGTTGGAGCCTGTCAAAAACCCTCGAATCGGTTAGAAGCTGGCTTAGCCGGTTAATTAACCGGTTAAGTATATTAAAAAAATTATTTTAGAAAATATTTATTTAATATTAAGCGGAGATTAATAAAAAATCACACAACTATGTAATTATGTCGTTATTTGATAAGATTTCTATTAATAATGAACAATTCTTATGCCTGCTCATTATGAATCAAGTGTTATATTATCTTTCAATGAACTATAATAATAATAGAGCTAATAACGCTAAAGCAAATACATGATAATTATGATGTCAATAAATTATAATTACAAAAGATTTCAATAGGTAGTAAATCATGTATTTTTCATTCACTTTTTATACAACATTCCCTTTCATTAGCCAATAATGTGAATGTGGTTTCAATCCCATTGAAACAATGATTTACAATTAAGTGAGATGTTTCGTCATTTTAACTATATGTGATTCTGGCTAAAATGCATGTCGATCCTTTCCATTTATCACAAATTGCGAATTAAGTTTTTTTAACCAGTTTAATGAATTACTTTAACCTATTTTATCAGGCACACGGATACTTTTAATAGATGTGATGTGATGTATATATTAATAACAGAAATAAGGAAAAATTTGAATTCGTATTTTTTTTTGTTTCGACATAATGAAATAGTGCGTTCCTAACAATAATTCCATGCCACATATAATCACCTACAAATTCCACCCTCACAACAATATCAACGATTTCTTCTTCTAAATACTGTTTTTTGATGCTGCGATCAAGTTTTGTAATATTTAAACTTGAGATAACAAGGTTGTACTAAGTTTTTATATTAGTGGGCTTATTATGGTGTAAATTTATTTTTAAATATTTATTATTAAATATTAAATATTAAATAAGATTATGCAATGAATGTAATATGACGATAACGCTACTATTTCTCTATTGCTTTAGAGTAGATTTTTTGTTAATTCAAGGAATCCCAACACTCCTCCAAAAATTCTTCTCGCGTCGTTAACGCATTCCAGCAAACATACAATGACATAAGGGTGCTCGTCTATGAACTATGTGTGATTCCATACTGTAGGGGTTTACCACTTTATTGAAAATGTGTCATAATTAAATAACGCCACATAAAAACATTAGGAATTTACTATATAGCCCTGCTGATCTTATCCATTGTCACTTTTTACCTCCTTTCTGGATTTAATCATTAAGATATTATTCTCACTCCAATCATCTTTATCCTGAAAAAAAGGTTAACCTAACCATCGTGTCTCCGAAGGATACGATGCAATAGATAATTCAGGGAGGGTTTCAAATTTTCACATTTTTTCCAAAATTGGTTATCTTTATTACATGGGCTTATAAAGACAAAAACAAATGTACAATGCACAAAATAATTGACCTGTAAACTTGTTTTCTAAAATTCAAAGCCACAATAAAAATTATATCAGATCTTAAATTATTACATGAAAAATTTTGAAGCATATATTATTATAAGGCTTAGAGCAATGATTAACATTGAAATTTCTCTTTTCAAAAACAATTGAATTTTTAATTGATGAAGTTCTAAAAAATATGGATGGATGCATATAATTTTATATACATGATGATATTCATAATTTAAGCTATATACAAATTGTTTTTTTTTTTTTTTTTTGTAATTATTATATGTTTTTTTGTTTGTGGTAAAGCAATTGTTAAAAGGTTCCATGTTAAAAGTTTCAGAGACAAAGAGAAAAGGTTTGACCTTACAAATAGTATTTTGTATCAAGTTTTTTTAACTTTTGTTTTTGTAACACATTGTATGTACTTGCATAGAAAGACAAGTTTTTAGTAAGGTGAGGGAAGAAAATATTCTGGCCTAAAACTATTGATAAACATTACCTATTCTTTAGTTACTTTGGCACAACTTTATACAACTTTTACTATTATTATTGATCGACAACTTCATTTTTAATTTCGTTACTCGCCCGTTCATCTTTCTGTTTTGATTATTATTATTGTTATTGTTATCTATTATGATTACGAATGTTTCACCAGTGTGTAACAATTATAAATAAGATATTTGTAGCACAAAGGAAATTTAATTTATTTATTATCCATTTCCACTATTAAATTTCTCTAAATTAAGATGGTAAGTATCATAAATAAAACTAATAGAGTCATTGAAAATCAAAAATACTTCCAAGTAAGAAGAATATATATAATAAATAATTTATATTTATGTATATATTAATAAAATAATGTTATTTGGTAAAGGCTGATGTTTATCAACCCCTTTGGTTGCGTGGGAAGTGGTGCTAAAAAAGGCTTCTTATATTTCGATTACATTTGGATTTATGGGTGCTATATATGGAATTTCAAGAATGGCTAGGGTAAAAAAATATTTTATAATTCTTTGATTTTATAATTATAATTGTTTAATTAACAATGTATTCTATTTTTAGGGAAAGAAATCATGATAATATATATTATAAAATTTTATCATCATCACTATTATACGACTGTTAGAATACAAGTAGCAAACGCTGAATTAATTTTGAATTTTGTGTTGAGTCATTTAATAAAATAATAATAATATTAAGAAATTCATGGTTGCAAAAAAAAATTACAATTTTTTATAATTATCAATCTATATACATTTTGCATTTTTACATTTTATTTTTTATATTTTCTTTTGCCAATTTCATCATCCCATTTTCTTCTAAACAAAAAATTTTCTGTGACATCTTTATCGTCATTATTATTATTACTATTATTAAACTCTTCATATTTATTATCGTCATCCAAGTGAAATTCATTTTTATCATCATTACCATTATTATTCTTATTATTATTATAAGTTAGTAAAGGACTAAGTACCGGGCTTGAAAATCCTAAAGTAGCTTCAAAATTTTGAAAGTTATGATGAGGTGTCTGTTTTGATGATGATGAAGGTGGCAAAAATGAAGTTGGAGAAGATGTATTAATGTTACTACTAGCACTAGTACTGCTGACGGTAATAATTGATGGAGGAGATAGTGGATAAGCTTGACGATCAAGTTCTCGTTTATAATAATTTATATCATAAGAATGTCTTCTTTGCATTCCCCTCATCCCTACTTGTTCCTTCGTTTCATTTTTATTATCACCACTGATGGTAGGGTTAATTGCTGAATAGGCCCGATGATTTTGAATTCTCTTAAATTCTTGTTTTTCTTGTTGTTGACTTTCCATGATTATTAAAAATATTTTTCTCTTGATTAAAAAAAAAATAAAAATTTAAATAATTTTTTTTTAGGAAAGCATGATTTAAATAATCTGATTGCTATTATTATTTTCACGTGCCAAACTTGACTACTTTTGTAATAAGATTTAATAAATTTTTAAAAAGAAACAAAATGTTCATATAAAATACTTAAAACATGTTAAATCGTAACATGATTGGTGGAAAGAAGGATCGTTTGCTTTCGTTTCGTACATTCCAAAATTTGATTGGTGGGGGCGTTAAGTATTATGTACTAGTATGAAGGCGCAAATACACGGAGCCTGTGTGACTTTAGTTGTATAAAAATTTATAAATAGAAATCTGCACTTATTTATGTGTAAAAGTGAAAAAAATTTTACAAATCAATACTAGGCTTCTTTCTTTCATTTTACTATTTAAAATCCACAATTTTAAGTTTTTTTTTTTTTTTTTTTTTAAAAATTTTGAACTCCTTTACGTTAATTTTTTTTTATTTTAATACTATTCTCTCTTTTATCCTCTTTATCTCAAAGAGAAAAAAAAAATACCAAGATACATGAAGTTTTAAACATACAATTTAAATATTTAAAAAAGAAATAACAAAAATAATAAATAAATACAAACAATAAAGGAGGAAAAAATAAAAAGAGAAATGATTTATAAGAATAAAAATTATTTTCACCATTTAAAAGTATTAATTTTTATACTTATAATAATGATGATTTTAATAACGCAATATTTCGAAATTAATATTCGTGTGGCTGAGCCTGGTAAATAAATAAATCAAAGAAAATTACATTAACGTATATTCATATTCATAATATATTTACGTATGCATTATCTTATAACTTTGTAGATTTAAACTCTGAATGCATTAAAAACAACAACATTAAAAATAATTACAATGATGATAAAAAAAATAAATCATTTACAATTATAACGGGAGCAAGTGAAAATCATTTTTGTCCATTAAAGGCTTTTATTTATAATATGCATGAGACACTTGAAGGATTCAATTATAATATGGTGGTATATGATCTGGGATTATCAATGGAGCATAGGATGGTACTGGAAGAATTAAAGAATTCAAGTTATATAAGTGATTTAAGAGTATTTAATTTTAGTAAATATCCTTCATTTTGGGATCTTAAAAAAGGAAGAGGTGAATATGCGTGGAAACCTGGAATGATTAAAGAGGTATCAGAAGATTATCCTGGCACACTTGTTTGGTTGGATTCTGGCACAAGAGTCGAAAGATTTTTTTTCAAAAAATTAAAAAATTTTACCAAAAAATACGGCGGATTCATATCACCAACATCACCTGGATTAATGAAAGATTGGACTCATCCTGGCGTATATGATTATTATAAAGATGATCATAGTAAATATGACAATTTGTTGAATTGTAATGGGGGTTCTGTGATATTTGACACATACAGGGTACAACATTTGATCGATGAATGGTATGATTGTGCGCTGGTTAAAAATTGTATAGCCCCAGTTGGTAGTAGTAGAGTTAATCACAGACAAGATCAAGCATTACTGACTTATCTGGCTGCAAGAGATAACAGATATTGTAATCAGAACAGAACTGTATTTGGCATTTCTATTCACTTGGATAAAAGTTGTAAAGAATTCATATCGGATTATGAATTAAATCACCCAGATCTTCTAATCAAACATTAATTAATTTGTGCGTTTCTAATAATTATAATTTTTTATATATATTTTAATTTCGTTTCTAATAGAATTATAATTATTTGTAAACATAGTAATAGAAACTGATTAATCATTTAATTTAATTAGGATAAAATACCAATAATAAAAAAATAATAACAGGTTATTAATCAATAATGAGGTTACCCAATCAAATTAATCAAATTAATCAAATATTAAAGTTTCGGGATCGGCAAAACGTTTCGAGATATAGTATTAGTATATATTAAAATGAATGCCAAGCATTATTTGTATTATTTGTGTTCATTAAAAAAGATATTCATTGACATGTAGTGTTTGTGCCATTTATGGTTCCAATAAAATTTCATTGGAGCATTCTAATAAATTCCCAATTAGAATTGGAACATTCCAAATATGGTTCCAATGAAGTTAACCAATGAAATTCAATTACAGTGTCACATGTACGAATTTTATTGGTCAATACCAATTGAAGATCTACATTGGAACATTCCAATAACGTTACAATGTTCCAATTGCACAACACTGTTGACATGTGATACAATACTATTAAAAGAAGTCCGGGAAAGAAAAAATGTCAATGATTCAATGAAAAATGTCATATGGTGCACGTCATCTATAAACTTTTAAAGTTAAAAATTTTTATTAACAAATTCAAAATTTTGGACTAAATTCTTTCCATAAAAAGTAAGTGATTGATTGCTCATTAGTTTATATCGCACCAATAAAAATAACAATATTATTCATTTTATAAAACGCCAAGACCATCTAAAAGAAAATTACATACAAGAAACCTAGTAAATAGTAAAGAAAGAAATTCTGATGGAACTTTGCAAGAAATCATGGAATACATGGATCTATATAGGAATGGAATTATTGGAAAGTTGGCAGAGTATGGCTGTCAAAAAATATAGAGAATTCCAGAGTATATTTTTCATGAATTAAATATTAATTTTTTATTTGATTTGATTATTATTCTTTCTTTTAATTATCTTACTATTATTTTTTAACTAATTTTAAATTATTATAAAAAATTATATAACTCATCAAAAAAAATGAACCATTAGAGTATCTGTTTTTCTAAATGGTCACATACAAAATTTTTTTTTCGCTTTGCAATATAAAAAATAATTACTTAAATTGGAAAGATATACATTTTTAAATTTCGGACTATTGATATTTATAGATGACGTGACCATACCAAAAACAAAGAAAAAAAATATCTAGTTGCAAACTTTAAGAGAATAATAATAAGATTTTTAGATCATTTATCATATATTTCTATTAAGGTTTAGCTTCCAGTATTTTTCATGAGAAAATTTGGTGGGAGGAGACATTACACCACGAGAAGTAGTTTTTTTTTTTTGAAATGCGTTTTATCCTAATATTAATGACATCAATCCTTGTTTGATGATGAAACATTTTTAATTTATAATCATTTTAGTATGCCAAATACACAAATTAAAATAGTTTTACAATCTGACACACGCGTAATCAAAAATCGAGCGTCGTAATTAAATTTTATTTTCTTTGCAACGCGAAAATAAGAAGAATTATGAATGGATCAAGTAGAGAGAATATCTATCATCAATTGGACATTTGCATATCGTTTTCCGTAAATGGTTAAATCTAAATAAAAAAATTATTTATTATATAGATTTTATAGATTTTTAATTTTTTTTAAAAATTATTTATTAGATTTTATAGATTTTTTAATTTATTTAAAAAGTTTTAGGATATAATATGAACTTGGAATATATTTTTGATGAACCATGTCAAAAAAAACCTTCTCATGTTCCACTTGAATGGAAACATGTTGGTGTTGCTTCAACTTTTATAATGATAAATGGTATTGTTTGATATATATAAATATTTATATTCAAAAGTAATATTATTTCTCTATTTCCTAACTTTATTTAAAAAAATAATTTTTTTAATTCTTATTTACAATTTTTTTTACTTGCTACTATTTTTTAATAATAATAAGGTTTGATTTCGATATGGTTTGGCTTAAAATTGGAGAAATCTCTATTTATTAGTTCAATTAGATGTGTAGTGCAATTGACACTGATGGTAAGAATGATCAATAATAATGAATAGAATCGATTAATCAACTATTAAATTGACGGACGAATGAATTCAATTAATCAAATTAACGAATTGATATTAATTAACGAATATATAATGTAGGGTATGATACTCAAAGATGTATTTAAAGCACGAAATCCATTAATAATTATGACAATGATATGTAAGCTATCGATTTTCGCACAAACAAATCTAAGATTGAAAAATATTAATTAATCATCTTTTAAAAAAATTCTCTAAATGATTTAGTTGTACTTATATTTCTTGGAGCAAATGAAGTTGTTTTTAATAAAAGTAAAAAAAGACATTCAGGAATGGTAATACTATTAATAATAATGTTTTCAATAATATTAATAATTAATTAATTAATTAATAAATCTGTTTAAAGTTTGGATCAGTTCTTATATCATTGTCATTGAGTACGCTATTTATTGGTGTGATTGGTAAGTTTTATCAAATCACAATCATGATCATATTTATATATATACTTGTACATATACATGTATATATGGTTGTATTAATGATCAATATATCACTATAACAATAAGGTTCAAGGTTTGCAATGAATCAAAAGCCATTTTGGGATCCTCAAATATTCATTCCAACAATGGGAATGATTCTTGGAAATACAATGTCTGCTATTGCTGTTGGTATATCATATGCTTTGGCACAATTTGGGTAAATTAAAAAAATTTTTATAATTTGTAGTTAACTCACCTTATTTATTGATCATTTGATTGATATAATTAATTAGTGAACAAAAGGATAAAATTGAAATGAGTTTATCGTTCGGTGCTACTAGATGGGAAGCTGGTCGCCCTGTTGCAGTAGAAGCTATAAGATTGGCCATGTTACCAACAATTAATTCAATGAGGTCATCAATTATATATCTTAATTTAATTATTGTTATAATTTATCTTTGATTTATCCTTTATTATTAATATTAATATTGATATTTTTATTAGTATAATTGGATTAATTTCAATTCCAGGTATGTTAACAATATAATATATATTAGTTTAAAAAAATGGTATATCTAATAATAATAAATAATGTTTATAATTTAGGAATGATGACTGGTCAGATTATTGGAGGTGCACCTATAATGGTAAATATTAATAATAATGACAATGATAGTACATATAAACCAATAAACTGATTTATTAATTAATCAATTTTTATCATTATTATTAAATTTAGGATGCTGTTAAATATCAACAAATTATCATGTTTATGATATCTGCTTCAACAGCACTTGGTGTACTTTTTTCAACATTTGTAAGTTTGTTTATTTCATTTGTTATATTGAATTAATGTTAATCAACACTAATCAATAATTATTTACCATCAATCAATACCAATGCAGGTCTGTGTATTCACATGTATTGATGATCACCATCGTTTACGTACAGAAAGAATATCAAATGCAAAGCCATGGATTTATGCACAAAAAGATAAACTCTTTGAAAAAACTAAAAATTTATTAATTTATTTAAAAAATAAATTATTTTGTTGTGCCATTCAAAGGAATAGTCTTTCTTCTGATGATGATCATCATGATTTAAATAATGGCGAAAATTTGAGTTTATTAGATAGTCGTCGTAATCATAACTCATGATTATCATATTGGAATAATTATATAGATCATTAAAGCCATTTCTTAATAAACATTTTCAAAAATTTAAAAAAAAATTTTATATTGTCTCCACCTCTTCAACATTATCATAAAGATTATATTTTTTTTATGCTATAAAGAAAAAAAAAAAAAAGAGGAAAGAATCTCGTGTATACATACATACATACATATATAAGAGATGTATTTTGATATTCTCCATTAGCGTACCAAATTGGCTATAATTTTATCATCACCATTATCATTATTACTTATGTGTGCGTGATAAAGCCATATTCAGCGATTGAATAGGAGGTACTACTGTGTTATAGAAGAGTTTTAATTATACGTTAAATTATATCTATTATTTTGTTTATTAATTTAATTGCAGTATTATTATTTAAATTTATTATTATATAACTTAATTAAATTTTTTAATTATCCTCCCTCTTTTTCAAAATATTTAAATTTAAAAACACGCTATCTACAAAAAAAAAAATTAATTTATTAATTTCTACATAAAGTAAATTTTTGAAAGTCCGATTAATTCTTCTTTTTTTTGACTGGTATTGTCAAAACTTTATAAATTATATAATTGTTGTTATTGTTGTCGTTGTAAATCCACTCTATATTACTAGATAAAATCTACTTGTTCTATAATATCATTATTATTTATATTATTTTTTTTGTTATATTCAATCAAGAAAATGTTTTTTACTATCGCCACCAATATTCAATTTTTCTAATCCTAAATATGATAGTACCAATAAACCTGTACCAACAACATCCACAATGGCCGTTCTAATATTTTATTTGGATGGGAAATGTTAGTTAATTCGATAATGATAATGATAATTAAAATATTACATGTATACTTACATGTATGGCAATGAATAATTGTCAGGATCATATTTATTATTCCATAACCAAATTGTCAGATTTTTGGCAAGTAATAATGTAAATATTGTCTAAAATAAATTATTAAATTAATTAGTTAAATTTTTTGAATACATTAAAAAACACACATATGTATATATGCAACATACGCAAATAATGGAAACAAATAAATAGGTGATGGCAAAATTCCAAGTTAAATTTGCATGGCCAATATCCAACCACCAAGCAAATATTAAAAATGTTATCTCGATAGGAATATGTATTAGGAACAATGTTATTTCTGATCGTCGATAATTTTCTTCAGTACCACTATGTAGTCTTGTCGATATTCTTGATGCATATATCGATCCTAGATTACCAGCAATACCTTTGTTTGATAAATAGATAAATAAATAAAGATAGTTAATTAATAAATCAATTAACTTGTATAATAGATAAAATTTTTAAAATGAAATAAATGTTGAATGATTACCATTTAGTACAGGTGTCAAAAGAGCCAATCCGTTATACCTTTCTATATATTTTTCTAATACTAAGCCAGCAATACTATATTTCATAAATTAATAATTAATATTTAGTAATTTAATCTATATCTATATTTATTAAAAAAGTAAACTAATCAACTAAGAAATAAATACCTTGCAATAATCATGGCTAAAAATAAAGGCGACCAACCACTAACCAATAAATCTTGAACATATTTATTTGTCCATACCATCTTCACCCATAATGGAATACTAATCACCAATATTATAAACATAAATGAACTAATATATGATTCTATTTATTAGATAGATTAATTGATGATTATTCAGAAAATATTATATGTGGTATAATATAAAAGTAAATAGAGATATTACTACTCATCTAAAGAAAACTTACGAAGGTATCGAAGAAGAAATTCACCACATACAGCCAAAATTACTAATGTTAATAAATCGCCAAGTGATGAAGCCATCGGACATGCGATATTATCTTTTTTTTTTTTTTAAAAAAAAAATTTTAATTTAATTAATCAATTAATTATAATTTTACACTCGTACACAAATAATGTTTACCTGGGTTAATGTGAAATCGTCTTGATAGTATTATTAGCACACACATAAATGTACCTAATATCATACTACTTAAAGCAGCACAAATCATAGAGGCAACAATCACCAACATACTTTCATAGAAAGAGTTGACATGACTAGGATGAAAAATTATTCCTTCTATAAATGAAAATAATCCGGCAACAGCTCCTACAATTAAGGATTGTACTTGAAGTACTGCTAAATTACCCCAAACTAAAGCATACCGAACCGATGGTTTATCCAATTCGCCTAAATTGGCCTAATAGTGCATAAATAATATATTTATATGAATTATTTTAGGAAAAAAAATAATTCAAAGAATGGTTCAAAAAAAAATTTTTACCGAAGTAGATAAACGTGACGCCAAATTCATTTCAAGGTTTCCTTTTAGATTTAGTAATACAGGAACCAAAATAAACAATTCAGGTATTTTATTAAAAACTGGCCAATGCTATTTTATTTGAATAATTGATTGATTAGTTGATTAATTTATTGATGATGAAAATATAAAATAAAATTATTTACTTGAACAACATCTAAAAGCCAACCGGCTAACATTAAACCAGCCACTGATATTATTAATGGAGGCATTGCCTATGTTACATGATGTAATAAATAATCGGATTTATTAAAAAAAAATTATTTAAAGAATCATTTATTTCTATTAAAAATTTTTTTCTTATCCTTTACCTCGAATGCTAAATTTCTTTCATCGTGTACCGTTTCTTCGATACTTGTAAGCTTTTGTCTTTTCGTTTTACCAACCGAATCACGATCCGAGTCATCTTCGACTGTACGGACTTCAACATAGTCATTTTTTAGTGGTCTCGGTGCACGAATTCGTTCGATGACTGTTGTTTTTGCATTATTTGTCGTGCCTGGTACATATAGACGATGGTTGCTACCATTAGCTTCTAGAAAATCTCTACTTATGTGGTCAATTGAAGCATTTCGTGAAGAGTAAGAAGAAGAGGTTGTTGTTACTGTGGCATCTATTAAGTTGTCGTGATCATTGACATCTGAAAGGCTGTGGTTTTCTTTTTCATCAACGGGAGAAATTACATTTTCTAACTCCAATAATTCTGTTTTTATAGTTGGTAATCGCATTATTTATATTTATATTTATGTATGTGCGCGTAAGTAAAGTATGAAATTTTGTTAAGATTTTTTAAATATATTATGTTTTAAATATATAAATTTTTTTTTCTAATATCGGTTGTGTAATATTTTATCAAAGCAAATGAGAGATATTAGTTGTAATTACATACATGTATCAGATATGATAATTAAAGTTTTTTTATAATTTAATTAGAAAAAATTTATTTTTACATAATAAGGAAAGAATTTTATTTCTATAACAAAAAAACTTTTATTTTGTTTTACATAAAATTTTTACTGTTGCACGAAGGAAATAATAAAATTAAAGGAATTTTCTATCATCTTCTTACCGTAATTGGTAAAAAAATGGTTCAAAAATCTTTTTTGGAACACAGTCAATCAATCTGTAATTTGGTTTTTTTATTAATATTTAAAGTTTTCCCATATTTCGTGAAACGTTAAAAATGACATCGAATTCATAAAAAAAAATTTTTTTGATTAAAAAAATTTAAAAAATGTTCTCCCTTAAACGTGGTTAGTAAGATTAGTAAAATAATCATTATTCTAGAATTTTTTTTTTTATCGTGTAATTCTAATCTTTGTTTTTTGCTTTCTTTAAAATGCTCTAAAGCTTTACCATTCTTTAGTACTATACCAAGGTTAAAAACACCGAATATCAATAATATTATCATTTCAAATAATCTTAATATAATTAATAAATTCATAAGACCATATTCATCAAAATCAACAACTAGATTATATTCATTAGCATCAATTTCTACATCTTCGTTGTCATCACACTCTATCATTGCATTTCTCAATTTTCCATCATATTCTAAATCTTTTGATTTGATCTGTAGGCATAAATCTTATAAATTAAAGACACACTCTGGAGCAAAGAAAAGGAAATTAATTAAAATTATTATTATTTAATAGTATCAGTGTTAGTAGTAGTAATGAATTCCAAATAATAATAAATTCTAACTATTTAAATTTAAATATATATACACATTATTAGATGGAGAGCGTTGGGCGGTAACAAGAATAAATTCAAGAGATCTCAAGTTGGTAGAAGGCATTTGAATACAGGAGTTCCAAGAGCACATTTGAGACATCTGCAAATGACAAAATATTCTAACAGAAATCAAACAAAAAAACTTAAAAAATTAATGCCTTATGGTTAAATTTATATTTTTTTGGTGGAAAAGAATAGCAAGAACAATGCAAAAGAGGTAGAGATATATATATAGTTAAAAAACAACGATTATTAAAACAAAAATAAAATTTCACAAATCGCGAATTTAATAAATCAAATTAAGTTTTCATACTTATTTCGTGTTAAATAGTGTAATAGTTTATCTAGTAGAGTAGTTTCTTGGCAAAAACAAAAAAATGGAAATCTATTTATAGATGCGACGATCTTTTGTGGTACAAAGTACGAAATTAATTAACGCATTCTAGAAAACGAATTTGCGCATTCACAATCGAATACAAATGGGTTTTTATCCATCGTAAATTCATTAAATATGTGTACGTGTGACTTGTTCACAATGAAATAACTGAAGTAGTATTACTTGCTATATTGAGCTGTTTAATGAAAGTCATAAATAGTAATAATAAATAGTTAAATGTAACATCATCGTGTTTTCTTTCGAAAAAAAAATTTTTACAGGTATATTAATATTAACAAAAAAATATTCCTCATTCTTGTAAATAAATATAATAATATAATAATATTATATTATGTTCATTGTATTATTATTACAGTGTTATTGGAAGAACAATAATATTTTCTAAATAATATTAGCAAAATCTTCCTTTATAAACTTTTTTTATTAATTTTCAACGATATAATATATATATTCTATTTAGGGAAAATTACTTATACCTTCTTTAATAATACGATACAATTTTCCCGAATACTAATTATCACGCAAATAAAGAGAAAAAACCTCTGAGAGGGACTACGTTTTTTTTTGTGTAAATAGTTTTGGATTCATCATGCGACTTTTACAGATCATAAACAAACTGGTAAAAAACCATGTATATTTTTTTTAAAAAATATGAAATAATAATTTTGAAAATAAATTTATTTTTTAATTTAAATTTTTTATAGTGGAGTAAAATTACAGAAACAAAATGGGCAATTCTTTATGTCAGATTTGCAGCTGTACGATTAGTTGTTGCAATAGCAATGAATGCTGTTATATTGAAATTACATGAAGATATTGCAGAAAAATTATTCAACTTACATGACATTGAAGGTGATTTACCTGATCCTGATAATAGAAAATTTGCATATATAAATTACGATTATGGAATTTATAGAAGTGAAATTTTATCTATAATACATGGAAATGTCTGGTTCATGGTTTTTGAAGCATTTCTAATGTTTCTATGTCTCTCATCGGTACTTATTTAAAATTTATAATTTGGATTTGAATTTATTTTAATTTAGTTTCTAACATAAAATAAAATTTTTTGAAATTTAGTTGTTTTTTCAAGTAAGCAAAAATTTATTATTATATAATTATTATTAACTTTCACTGAAAAACTACTAATAATTTTACTACCAATAAAAATAAAAATAAACATAAATAGAACACAATTGAAGTAATAACAGTAGGAATGATAAATCTTATGTTGATATTGTTTTCAGGAATTAATCTAGCACGAAGTCTTAAATGGATAGGCCGTATAAATAATCAATTAGAAATTGACCGTCCATTTATAGATGGTGATACAGTCGATACAACTGACATAAGTAGAGCTGTAATAACTTGGGAAATTATTCATTTATTAATATTAACTGGATTTGCTGCGTCTTCATTATTCTTTGGTTATAAATTGTATCAACATTTTGGATGGAACATTTACAAAAAAATTGGTGCTAATATTCAAATGCAAGGTATTTAATTTGATTTTGTTTTATATTATATATAGTAACTAGTTAATTTATTAATATAAATTTTAATTTGATATTTAAATTTTATTATTAATTTTAGCAATGTATCGAACATACCTTGGTAAGAATTTATTGATTAAAAAATCAGATTTGATACTATCTTTATTAATATTATCATTATTATTTACTTAAAAATTTTTTTTTCAATTACTAGTTTTTCTTCTATTAATTAAATTGGATACGTTTTTACTATTGGGATTTCAAATCCTTACTTTAAGTTTTTTATTTAGTGAAAATGCTGAAAGCAACACAAAAACAATCATACTTCAATGTATTATGGTTGCAATAGTAATACCAACAATCGGTTTAGCTTTATGGGGAGTAAGTAATCAATAGTAATCATATATATAATAGTATTAATTTATTAATCATTATTAATATTCAATTTTTTTTTTAGGTGAGAACAGAGAATAAAGTCGCAATGTTTATTTATGCAATTGCTTCTATAGTTACGATTTCAAATTTAATTTTCATACTTGCTTCTGTTATAATTAAACGTGAAGAAGCATTATTGATGTTGTTGGTAACTATTGTTATATTACTAAAATAATACTAGTAGTATTAATAACATTAATAATAATAAAAATAATTTAATTATTAGGACATTTTGGGTATTTTACTGATTGTGCTATCAATGATTGTTGCTTATTTAACAGTAAGGAATTTTGGTAAGTTTATTATCATTATTATTACGATAATCATTAAATGTTAGAATGTTATTATAAAGAATATTAATTAATGATTAATTCTAATTTTTATTGTTTTAGGTTTTGGATTAGAAGATCATTGTGAGTAATTTAATCAATTATAATATTATAATATAATTAGTGATGTTGATTAATAATAATTTAATTTTTTCTTCCTTTCTAATTTATAATAATAATGTAGTTCAAAAGAAACATCAAATTGTCACGGTTGATTTGGAATCAAGTGGGGTTCAACAGCCAACAAGATTTTCAATTGATGGTTAATTTATAAATCCATCGACCAATAAACAAACAAACAAACAAACAAAATCATATATATATATATAATAAATATTTATATAATATCAAATAAATAAATTCATTTAACCAATCCAACCAATCCAACCAATCCATTCAATCAACTTTTATATAAATCGACACATATTACTATTGTATCAATCAATCAACCTACCAATCAACCTATCATAAACCTATCAACTAATTAGAAATAAAACCATCAAATAAATCATCAATTTATAAACATATATAACTATAGACATATGCAATCTGTTCCCCAATCAGCAAATTACTCCATCTGATCCATCCTTACATCCAGTTAAATCTATAACATTACCATCCGATAAACAACCCCATCTTTCCGATCAATTATATATGTTCATCTATCCGACCATCAACCAACCATTTATTCATTCACTCACTCAACAATATTATATAATTGAGAAGAGAAACAATATTATTATTAATCTTATCATAAAGAAGAGATATAGTAGATTAATTATTTATAAAATATAAAAATTAACATTTTTATTCTTTGAAAAATTTTGTTATTGTAACTTATTATAATTATTATTTTTTTTTTTTAAAAAAAAATATACATATCTTGTGAAATTATCTGTATTTTATATTTGAAGTTTTTGAAGTATTGATATGGACATTTATTTTATCTATCATATATTTTTTTTATCAAATATTAAATACTACCACTATATTATTATTATATAGTAATAGAGTCGATATATATTATATAAATATATTTTTTCCTCAACGATTTGATTTTTTTTTTTTCTTTGCAAATATTTAAATATTTTGTATTCATTTATTTTTTCATTTTTTCTTGGACCACACACACACATATATACATATTGTATATACCACACACACATATATATATTTTTAAATATATATATATATTACTTCATTTTCATTATATTAAATAATCATCAAATAATAATCATCGTCATTATAAAAAAAATATAATCCTTAATTTCAATTGATATATATAAAATGATTAGAGTTTTTAAATATTTATTTAAATAAGTACGTCTATTTATCAACGCATCAAATTTTTCCAAAAAAAAAAGTTAGTAAATATATCATTTGGTATCTTTCTTTTTGGCCCATATCCAAGAATTCCCACATCCTGAACCAATCTGTTCTACCAAAAATTCATCTTTGTTGAATTTAATCAATTTTACCGGGCTCCATTGATCATTGTTATTTCCTACACCACAATTACCATGTTCATTCCATCCCCAAGAAATACATTGACCATCAATCGATAACACCAACGAATGTTCTGATCCACACTCGATAGTTTTTACCTTAAAACCTTTTGGTAATATTGGCGATGATTTTGGAAGGTAACATAATGGTATTGGCTGATATAACCATCCAGAAGATGATAATGGCGACGGTGGTGGATTCATTGTTCCTAATTGTCCATGGTCATTTCTACCCCACATCACCAATTTATTATTATTATCATTATTATCATCACAATCTATCAGTGCCATTGTTGTATTCCATCCACATGATATTTCAATAACTTTATCAATACCAACCACTTTTCTTGGAATCTCACAATTTCGAATGCTTAATGGTGATGCGTATCCTAATTGTCCATACTTGTTAAGTCCAAATGTATAAATCTCACCTTTAGATGTTAAAACAGCGGTATGGTTTTGTCCACATGCAACATCTATTATAAACAAACCATTGTTATCATAATTATAACAATCATTGAAAATTATTATGTTTTTAGGGCTATAATAAGTATTAGGCTGTTTTTTTCCTAGTTGTTGTGAAATTTCTTCAGAATCATTTCCTAATCCTAACTGCCCAAACTTATTACTACCCCATCCATAACAACTACCATCTTTTGTCAATGCAATACAATGTCGTAAACCACATACAACCTTTTCTACATATGAAATAGATTCTACTTTTTTTGATTTGTTAATAATAATATTGTTTTCACCACATCCTAACTCGCCAAATAATCCTTTACCGAAAGAATATACATTACCATTTTCTTCGACTAAAATAGTAAATGCCCATCCGCATGCAACAAACTTCCATTTTTTATCTGTTAGAACTTGATGAAAACAATTATAGCATTGATTTCCTTTCTTTGACAGTTTTTTGTCTTCTACATTATTGTTATTATTACTGTTATTATGATCACTATTATTTTCATCATTGATGATGATATTGCCACATTGACCATCGATATCTGAGCCTGTCATCCATAATTCACCATTATAAGTTATCAAAGCAGAATGATTACCACCGCCAGAAATTACTTTTGGTGCGGGAATGTTATAATTATCTTGGAAAATCTTTTTTGAAAATTTACAAGTTGTTGGAACATTGCAATCTAGAAAATTTCCTATACCTAGTTGGCCATTACCATTAGATCCAAAAGCAAATAAATTAGAATTCATAATTCATATTAGCATGTGACATCTCACATTAGTATGTGATAACCAAAAATTCGAATCTGTGTAACAAAGCGGTATCTCGTTATTTCATAGATCAGTTTTTACTGATCTTTGAAGCTTTGAAATCTCCCAACCATAGCAACGCCTCTTACACCGTTTACTCCCACGCCAATACCAAAACGTTAATAAAGCTGAGGAAGAAGACGACGATGCGGAAGAATATATCGAAGTTAAGACAGCAGGTGAATTTGATTGGCAAGAACGAAAGAAGAATTAAGATCATAATCGATTAATCATTTTATTAATTTATTAATTTATTACTAATTGTTTTTTTTCCTTTCTTTTTAAATTATTATTGGACAATTTTTCAGAAGATCAACTTAAAAGATATGAAGTTTATAGAAGATCTGCTCCAAGTAAACCTAATGTTAGAAGGTAATATATATATATATATATACACACACATATAATTAATAGTTGTAATAATGAACATAATAATTTATTTTGTATATATATTTAGTTGATAAGTCAAATTTTAGGCCAACCTTGTTCTCATAATATGGGAATTGTTGTTGCAGGTTTTACCAATTTATTTGTTGGAGAAATTGTTGAAAAAGGTATATGAAAAAATGAGGAAATAAAATTATTAATATTTTTATTATATTAGATGTAAAAAACAAAAAGGGTTACATTTAAGAGAAGCATTTAGAATATATATAAGAATGATACTGGGTTTGAAAGTCATCTTTATCAAAAAATATTATTCAATAAATAAATATAAAAATCTTTAATAATAGACATGGATTCTACAATATATATATATATTATATATAGTTATTGTATGACTCATATAAAAAAAACACTCATGCTGAAAGAAAATTGTTTTATTATTATTTAAATTACATAAATTAGATAAATTAGATAAATTAGATAAATAAATACAAGTAGATGATGATATATATTGGAAGATAGTAAATTAATTAAATGGATGGATTGTTTTTTTTTTCGTTTTCCTTTATATGTAGCCATTTTGTAATATTAATGTTATAACAGTAATAAATATAATAAAAGTGTTAATCCATAACCCATTACTGCCAACATTAACAACAATATCTTTCACTCCACTTGTTGGTTGATAACCAAAAGGCCCAGTAGTGGTCGAGGGATAAGCAACAATAGTTGTACTGGAATTGCTTGTGATGGAAGCAACAGCTGCACAAGCATTTCTAATATAATCAATCGAAGGTGGTATCCCATCAGCATTCAATGTGGTATTCTGTTGATTTGTAGCCTGAAAACATTCCACACATAATGGATAAACTTTTAGAAATGTATCAAGACACGCACACTTTGCAGCTTCAATAAATCCTAGAGGATCGTATAAGACACTAGTGAAATTTTTGAATATTTCATTTGATTTTGTACATGAGTCTATTGTAGAATAATTTTTTTGACATTCTACACATGATTGAATGCTTGGGTCGAAATATGGAGCTTCTTGTTGTTGCGAAATTACAGTTGGAATAAGTGTAAAGAAAACTATTATCGTAATGATGTAAATTTCAAACAAAAAGTTTAAAGAATAATTGAAATTTCTCATAGTTAATAAATTGATAAACGAGAGAAAAAAATTAAGGAGGTTTTTTACGTGACGTGCGTGACATATTCATAGTAAAGATCATTAAGATTAGTCGCAAATCTGCTGATCTAAACTTAAAAATAAATCTTCCTCCGAAATGATATCAAAAGCAACAATTAATTCCTTTAGTCATCTCCTATTCTTATTTTAGATAAGCAAAATTCACCCTCATATTCTTATTTAAAAAATCTTTTAAAATAGCATTAAAAAATGGAAACTTATTTCAGTTACGTAAAATCACCTCAAGATGGTATTTTTGCTTTTCGAAACTTGCCGTATTGGTTTTTATCTCGTATACAACGAAGATTATGCAGCAAAAAATATTCTTCTATTTGTTTGGGGTGAAAGAGAAACTGGTATGAGATGTTGGGCTGATGGTAAAGTTGGTCTGCAAGTAGAATCAATGGAAGTTTCTTAACCTATAAAGAATTAGAATCATCTAGTTCTCGTGATAATAATAATAACTCTCGCGATTTATCAAACGAAGACATTGATTCAAGTGAACCTTATTTCATCATTCTTCCTCGACTGTCAAAAAAGTTATATCAGCTGAATAATGTAGATACAAGCGTAATGGTTTGGTAAAACAATCTTTCAGTATCACTGGCACCACACATCAAAAATTATATTTAATATGTTACTACACGTTATTCAAGAAAAATTACCAATTCACGACAAAAAATTAAAAAGTACTGTCATATTAATTAATACCAAAAGGAATGTTATCCGGAAATTTCTCATCATATTCCACATCATTATTATTTTGGTAACAACAACTCCAACTAAATAATAATTTATCATCATCTTCTTCTTTTCTTTCGAATTTCCTTTTGAAATCAAATGTCACAAAACTCTGGCTCTTCAAATAGGGTACGTATTACTTTACTATTACCGACAACACATGGAGCGCCATTTTAGCATTTTATTAGTTGTTTGATTATGTGGAGGTTAAATGTAACCCTGAGTTATCGGTAAAATGAATGCCTGCCTCCCCTTCAAATGATAGAAAAGAAGCAAAAATTCAATCAATCCATTTCATTGGCGGAAGATAAAAAAACTGAATACTCGATTTCATTAGCATTAAAAATTTAATATTCGAATTTGAAAAATATTATTATTATTATATCACTTTATATAACAATAATAGAGTTTGAATTGTTTATATTTTTGTTATTACACACTATTGTTAAAATATTAACATCATATTATTAAAATTCAGGAAAAATACATGTTTCTTTCAAGAAAAACAACATCTTCTATATACAACTTTAGGATCTAACCTATTCATTTCTTTTTGGAGTAATGTAATTGTTCACATCAGAAAGAAGCCTTTCGTTAGATACTGACGTAGAAGAAATTCCCAAATACCGGCGACGAATACAATCACTACTATTCACTCCCAAACCTTGGAATTGTAACACCACGAACCACACTACCATACAAGTAATTGTGAAGCATTTATTTAATTCAAATCATTGCTATTAACCTCTCTGGTACTTATTCTCAATGATGAATACCGTTGATTTATTGATAAGAGCACTCTTATTGTTTACCACATATGGTTTAAATTTAATGGTATCATTAGGCATAGAAGAAAGATTTTGCAGGCGAGTCAAAATAATTACGGGTATCCAATATCCTTGAATAAATTGATATCTGAAATACTAATTGTATTCAATAAAATAAAATATGCAAAAAACTATGAATTTATTTAATAACATTTTTATTTTATTTATTCCATCTCTCTTTAAAGAAATGAAATTTGATTTGGATAAATTTTGACAAGAAAATATAATTTTTTTCTTTCTTAAAAAAATATATTTATTATAAAAATAAATCCATATAAAAAGGTTTTTGATAAAGATATATACAAAGAACTTCTTCAATGTTATTTTACTGATAAATGGCGACCTAGATTCTTCTGATAAAAATTATGACTGTTTTATATATTTGACTTGCCTTGATATTCATAGAAATAATCGCATAAATGAATTGAACAGCATACCTTTTATGAATGCACAATTGCTGGTGGCTTCTATCGCATATAAATGATGAATGAGTTGTGCACTGTAGAAATTTTATTAATCTACTACAATTAACAATTATGCATTGAAAAATACATGTTAACAAATGAAATTGATGCACCACAGCAATATCACCACACCTTACCTCTTTCATCTTTGGTGTTGAATAATTTTGATTTCAGACCTGGGGTTTTGGACCTGATTGTGACTGAGGGGACCCTTTGGGGCATGATACTCCATTTGATGGCTACAATGGTGTAATTTGGTACTTTATGATCAAATTGTAGAATTTTTTTTCATGATGGAATGTCTGCATGTGGATCATTCCATGGTTTTGAAATTCATCATGTTTGAAGAAATACACCCACTTGCCCTAATTCACCATCCCAGGGTCCTTCCACAACTTGTTACAGCGTATTTCAGTAGTGCAGGTAGATGTGCATTTCATGCAAGTGGGTCCATTTGTCTTTGGCCATCATCAAGGTATTTCTTTTTGAAAAAGGGAACGCAGTTCTCAAATTCGAAGGCAAGATTGTGGTTTTTGACTCATCCGTGATTTTGTGGCTGCCATAAGAGCTTATAACAATCAAGTTGATTCAGATTGGATGTTTTTCACAGTTCATATTTCTGGTGGCCAGTATCTGGTTCTGATTTTGAAAATTTCTTGAGCATCAATACAGCTAGTACCAATACAAGTGGAACCTAGCTATCTATTGAAGATGGTATTTTTTTTAATGTATTCATAGTGCCCCTTTCCATTGGGGAAAATATCAAAGCTTCCAGATCAGGTTTTCAAGTAAGATCAGGAATTTGCAATCAATCTACTGTAGTTTGTGTCTTTGTTGTGTATTCTGGAGGAAATAACCATTTGGGACAACCAAACCTGGAGGATGGGAACCTCTTCTGGAAGTTGACTGCAATAATGGCTCAACAAGTAAGTTGAAATGATTAGATATGTGCTTTTTTATTTGATAATATAGGTATAAATTTTAAAGTTTTTAATATATTTTTATATTAATAAATTATTCATATATACCAAAAATTTCAGGGATCAAATTTAATCATCACTAATGTAACATGATCATGATATTCAAAACAGTTAATATGAAATTAATTTACACCAAATCTACTATGGAACCCAAGGATTATAGTACCATCAGAAGTATTTTGAAGAAAGAACAAGGTGAAAAAATTGCTCCTTATATTTTCAAAATAAATGATGCTCAGACAATTAAAGAAAAGAAAGGATTATTTATGAAATTTACCAAGAAGAAAGGAAAATAATAAATGTTGGAAAAAGAAAGCAGAATGAAGATGTGCTATTATCCAACAAAAACAGAAAAATAATCTCATTGTTAAAATATTGATTTATTTTTTCCTTTTAATTCTTCTAATGACATAAATCAAAAAACCTAAAAAAGTTATATCTAATATTCATAAATAGATCATAATTTCCTTTGTTCTTGAAATATGGTTTTTATAAACATAGCAGGCTTTCTCTGTGATTGGCTGATGCATAATGGAATTGTTTGGATGATTTATTATTATGCCAATCATTACTATTAATCAATTTTTTATGTTATATCCTCAAGAATAATAAAACCATCTTTTTCAAAATTTCAAGACAATCAAATGACTTTATTTATTGACAGTATTTATCAAAACTCTAGATTGAAAACTTCTATTATAATGCATGTAATAAAATGCATCTATAGTTTGAAGCAACATAAATATAATATTGAAAAAAAGTATATCCCCACATTGAATTGAATATTATTTATTATTCATAAAAAAATATTTATAGATATTGAAAGCTTGGATTGAACTAAGGTTGTGGGCGAAACCTCCCTAGTAATTGCTGAAACCACGGAAAAACTATATTAAATTTTATCAAAAATCCTGTTGAAACTATGCCGAAATGGCGAAACCTCAAAATCCGAAACTCTGCTGAAACTCTAATAAACAATTAATGTGTAACCTGCTGAAACCCTGCTGATTGATTTCTGGAGGAGTTTCGACAAGCAACCTTAGATTGAACTTTGCATCTTGTCATTACTTAATGTATCATCTAATTATAATAATACTCATGAACATACATGAAGTCAAAATTAAAACCCCAAAGTCAAAATATTTTGACTTGAGGCAACTACATAGTAAAAATCAGTTTCAATCTTATTTTGACCCTATTTCAACTTCATGTATAATCATTAATAAGATAATTATTTATTCAACACACTTGCTATTAACTATGATGAAACATAATAATATTCATACCATTCTTTAGACTAGTAGATCCAAGCATGTTGCAATTGTTTCTTTATATTGTAGAACTATTTCAAATATTACATCATTAATAAGATAATTATTATTCAACACTAAGGGTACTGGCTGCAACTTTTGATGATGGTTGCTACCATCTTTGTGCCACATTAACTGTGATAAACAGAATAATAATATTCCTACTGTTCTTTGGCCAAGTAAGATCCAAGCATGTTGCAATTATTTCTTTGTATTATAGAATTATAAATATTTTTTCAAAGTATAAAAGGTTATATTAATGTTTATAAATGTATCTTTAAACATGTTGTTCACTAATTTTTTTTTTTTTAATGCCCGAGTTGTTGTTATAACAAAAAAAAATTTTTAGTAATGAAATATATTTATCACTATTTATTTTGAATGCTTGGAAATGCTTCTCATCTAACTTCCGAATTACCTCATCATTTTTTGAATTACTTTGGTATTATATTAAACAGAACTTAAGCTTTCTATTAGTGTGTGTTTTATAAGCCAGAAATAATTTTTGGTGGCCAGAAAAGGGGTTAAAGCCAGATGATCAGAAATTTTAATAATGAATTTCAATTTATCTATATACCTTGTTGATCAGCCAATCAAATTTAAGCCCGCTATGCTGTTTTTATATTCATCAGCAGCTTTGGCAAAATCTTCACCTTTTAAGTCGGAGACAGTAGTTTTTAACATGATAGATCTTAGATTCAGTAGTGCTATGATTATGTTTGTAATCAGGAAGAATGTAAATCTTATTTTTATCAGTAATACTGTAGCT